AAGATTCCATAAGACTCCTGCTCCTTTCTGCTCAACAAAAAAAGTGATTATCAAACTGCTGTTGTCATGAACTCTGGGAAAAGCAGCTGTGCATAAATGAGAAAGGCTTGAGAAACCACAAGCTCAGGCAGAAATGTTGCTGACAATTGTATTTTAACACGGCAAAGTGAACGAGTCAATAACAACACTGCCGGTTAGAAAAATGAAGACATGTTATACCATTAGCGCCCATGGATGTGTTAGTTAATAAATGTAAATAATCAACTTCTGGACTGACGCAGTTTCAACGTACTCGAACTTCTATGTTGAGCTGCTTTGACACAATCTACGTTGTAAAAGCGCTATAGACATAAAGATGAATTGAATAGATGAATTACCGGTTGTAAACATTCTGGATGCGAGCGCAGCGAGGTTTCAGAAAAAAATCGTGAGCACTAGCATTTACATCGACAGAATGACATCGATGTGGTGCTGAGTTTGTTAATGTATTAGAGATAAGTTATATTGATTACATATATATATATATATATATATATATATATATATATATATATATATATATATATATAATTTACATAATGCTTTCAGCGTATTATAGCAGCTTGTCACCCACTGATAAGCACAGTGATTCTGCAAAATTAACGTTAAAGTGAGCGGCGTTCATCTGACAGGTCTATTTGCTATAGCACTCTCCCAATGGATATCGGATAAGACAGAATGCCCAAGCATCCAGCCCCAAATATCTCATTGAAGCACCAAATGTTTTTACAAGAGAGAAGTTAAAGGCCTACAAGTCTTTTAATGCCCTCAGTTTTGTTCTGGTTGGTCATGTGCAAGGAATAATGTTACATGATTACCAGATTTAACACTATGTAGTGCTAAAAACCGAGGTTCTGCTGAGCCTAAGACAAGGAAAGAAGACCTGGGAACAAGGTCTGGGTAATCATCAACAAGCGTGTATGGAGTGTGTAAGGATGTTTTCCACAGATGGGTTGCAGCTGGAAGGGCATCCGCTGTGTAAAACATGTGCTGGATAAGTTGGCGGTTCATTTACTCGCGAGGAGGAGTTTCCTCATCTCAGCTCATGGATATAGAGGCACACACGGTTAATTCGGGGAGATATAAATTATTTAAACGCAAAACCGAGAAAAACGCAATTCACAAGTGCATATTGAACCGTGGAGGTCGTACCGTACGGTTCAATATTATATTGAGAACCGTGGCATCCCCAGTGGTCACTGTGAGGTGTAGGGTTAGGGGTGGATATTAAAAAGCATTGCATGCAGCTCAGATTGCAACTGCACCGAGTCTGCATCCAGACACCTCTCACCTGTAGTGCTGAAATAAATTAAGTTAAACTAGCAGTGGACTGGTTATAGAGACCAAAACAAAGACTTTAACCAAAACAAAAACTGACTTTAGCTTTGTTTTTCAGAATCACCAGTATGTTTCCTTAGCATGTTTCTTAAATATCTGCAAACATATGGTTTAGAACAGTGTTTCTCAACTGGTGGGTCGTGGCCCAAAAGTGGGTCGCAGGAACATTTTCAGAGGGTCGCAGAGTGTGTGGTCAATAAAACAACAAAAGTTTAGATTTTAGCTTATATTTTGCTTATACTGGACTTTTATTTTGAAATGCGCACGCGGCAACCGTACCGTTTGACATGTGAAATTTAATTTCGTTATAGCAAGAAATATGTCGAAGCGCAAGTACAACCCTGAATATGTAAAGTGTGGATTTACATATACTGATGACAAAAAGGGCTTAAAACCTCAGTGTGTCATATGTAGTGAGGTGCTCTCACAAGAGAGCAAAAAACCTGAATTGAAACGACATTTAGAAACCAAACATCCCAGTTGCAAGGACAAATCTGTGGCCTATTTTCAAAGACGACTCTAAAAGATGAGGGCATCACAAAAGTGCATAAATTTGGTTAAAATAACAGCAATAAAATGTTGTTTATTTGTAAGTCTTGGTGATTTTCTTATGTTTTGTATGTCACTACTTGTGTGTTAACAGATAAATACAAATTAATCATAATTCCTGAAATTATATTAGAGTTCCTAAAAATTTGGGTCACGGCTTGATGACCATGTAAAAATGTGGGTCCCATGGCCAAACCAGTTGAGAACCCCTGGTTTAGAAGAGTCAAAAACTTACATACAGCACCTTTAAGGTTTAAATTTTGATCGTGAAACAGTCGGTGTTGGGCTAAGAATAATAAATGTGATCTCTTGGCTTCATGTTCTGCACATAGCTTATTTCTGCTTTGATATATCACCTAACCCATTTCAGGTCAAAATGGCAAGTTATTGCATATATTTAGTCTTTAAAACGAGTTTTGAGTGAAAGTGTGGTATTAAAAGCGGTGTCGCTCAATGTTAATTAGGCTGGCTTGTGTAGCAAGCCAGACTACTGTTATCCTATTTTTCTTCTGAGACTAAAAAACAAAACGCATCTCCTCCTAGAGCTTTAGAGCTATGACCACCAAACTTGCACCAGACCTCCAAACTGGTCTGACTCGGGTTGCTATATCTTTTCCAACAGATCCGACTTTTGGTTTTTGGGGAAACGTCCCGGGACCGTCGGAAAAATCCCATTAACTTAACATTGGACCAAACTTTTTGACCTCATAACTCTGCATCAGACTGTCACACAGACATCTAACTGGGCTCATTTAACTCAGACTACCTAACTGCCAATAACTGGTGAGCTTTTAACTTTCTGGCCACGCCCTAGCAACCACTTTGGGGACCCTAGAAACTGTCCCATAGACTAATAATAAACTATTACCAACATGCTTTCACAAGCCAGCCTCAAAGTTTGTCTCGACGAACTTTAATAATCTAGTTATAACCTGTCAAACACTAAAAACCCACACAGAAGACATTTGAAAGGTATCAGAAAGCATGCTTGCCATCTCTTAGCTTAACAAACTGACTGAAGTGTGATGTTCAATCGTAGTTAACTGAGGTTACCTCACAAACCACTTCCTCTTCGTTTAAGAAAGCAGAACCTTTTTAAAGAAACAGCATACAAGAAGCAGAGAAGTATTACACCAGTGGTTCCCAACCTTTTTTAGCCTGAGTCCCTCGTTTTCCCCAGAAAATATTGTAAGGCCCTCCTTCACATTTAATGAAGCTCATATAAGTTTGCAGTAATGATGACAAAGGGGTGAAGCAGTGGCGCAGTAGGTAGTGCTGTCGCCTCACAGCAAGAAGTGGTTTACCACTGGTTCGAACTTTGGCTCAGTTGGTGTTTCTGTGTGGAGTTTGCATGTTCTCCCTGCCTTCGCGTGGGTTTCCTCCGGGTGCTCCGGTTTCCCCCACAGTCCAAAGACACGCTGTACAGGTGAAATGGGTAGGCTAAGTTGTCCGTACAGAAATACGGCAAAATAATCTTGCGTCAAAAGAAAAAAACAAGATTAATTTGCTTACTCCATTGGCAGATTATTTAGCTTGTTTTAAGGAAAAACTCACTTAATATTGGCATATTATTTCTCAAAACAAGACAATATGATTAGCTTGTCTAGAAAATGCTTTTTGATATGAGAAATTTTAGATATTTAAACACAAGACTAAAAAAATCTAAGCAAGAAAAGCATTTTTTGTAGTGCACAAAGCTTGCTGAGGCCCTCTTGTGGGCTGCGACCCCCCCTGTTGGGAATCGCTGTATTACACAAAAACAAAACTAATGACACTGATGACCTTTTGGATAATAAAAAAAAACATCCTCGTGTAACTATTTAAATCGATGCACAATTGATTTAAAAGCATACAAATAATGCATATGCATGCTAAAAAGAGATTTTGCCATTCTGTGAAGACAATTTTTGGCTTCCACTTAATCGATTTGTGTTGGGACAACACAAAGGAATTAAGTTAATTTAGCCTTTACAAATTTAAGTGGATTGAACGTAAAACAATCCAAAAAATCCTCAAGAATTGTGTTGCTTCAGCTCATTTTATTTTAATTATCAGTTTGACGGTGACAATGTGTTGTCAAAGTAAAAATGAAAGTGAAAATTAAATAATTTCATTTCGTTTTCAATTTTGGCAGATATTTTGTAAACAGTGTTTTAAAATGAAATTGTTAATCTGATTTTTATTTTAATTTCCAGTGTTTATTTGACAACACAAAGGAATTAAGTTAATTTAGTCTTTACAAATTTAAGTGGATTGAACGTAAAACAATCCAAAAAATCCTCAAGAATTGTGTTGCTTCAGCTCATTTTAGTTAAGTAGTTTAAACAAAAAAAATAATAAAAAAATTCTGTTTGCATTTTATTTTTCAGTTTGGCTTTTTATTTTAGTATTGGCAGCCTTGACGCAGTAATGCAGTGAAAATGAAATGTTAAATTGGCAACTTCATTTTAATTATCAGTTTGACGGTGACAATGTGTTGTCAAGGTAAAAATGAAAATTAAATAATTTCATTTCATTTTTAATTTTGGCAGATATTTTGTAAACAGGGTTTTAAAATGAAATTGTTAATCTGATTTTCATTTTAATTTCCAGCGTTTATTTGCTTATTTAAAATTAGCAGGATTTACCTTCCATACCCACAAAGCTTGCTGAGGCCCTCTTGTGGGCTGCGACCCCCCCTGTTGGGAATCGCTGTATTACACAACAACAAAACTAATGACACTGATGACCTTTTGGATAATAAAAAAAAAAAACATCCTCGTGTAACTTTTTAAATCGATGCACAATTGATTTAAAAACATACAAATAAAGCATATGCATGCTAAAAAGAGATTTTGCCATTCTGTGAAGACAATTTCTGGCTTCCACTTAAGGAATTAAGTTAACTTAGCTTTTACAAATTTAACGTGAACGTAAAACAATCCAAAAAATTCTCAAGAATTGTGTTGCTTCAGCTCATTTTAATTAAGTAGTTTGAAGAAAAAGCAAGCGTCATTTTTTTGAGTCAACTCGACTGACTTTCTCTTCCTGTCTGTTCTCTCTTTTTCTCTTTCTCTCTCTGTGTGTGTGTGCAGAGATGTGGTATTGGGTGTTCCTGTGGTGTCTGTTCTCGTCTCTGTTTGTTCACAGTGCCGTGGGTCTGCTGATGTGTGTGACTCTGCAGCGTCATAAAAGAGGACGCCTCATCACACTGGTGCTCATCAGCGTGGGCTTCCTGGCCTCTCTGGGCGGAGGAGTCATCACCAGTCAGTACTCACACACACTTCTGCTTTTACTATCTGCTTTCACAAGTCTCTTAAACCCAGTGTGAACTTTTTTGATGCAATAAAAACAAGCAATTACAATGAAAAAACAAACAGATAAATGTATAGTACAAACAATTCAGATGCGCATGAGTATTAATATTAATATTATATTGCACAAGTATTAATATTAAGCATTTAAATGTAATATTTAAGCAATGCATTCTAAATATAAATGCACAGAAATTTGCGCTGAGCAAAGATTAATTGCAATTAATTTAATCCTAAATAAAAGTTTCTTTTGATGTAATATGTGTGTATGTTATAGATATATCTGCACTAGGCGACACAAAGAAATAATGAAAATAAAAACCGAGATCTTCAGTGTACGCGACACTCGAACTAAACTAGTTAAACTACAAAACTCAAAACTACACAAGTGGCAAAACACTGAAACTAATCTAACAAAAATCCATTTAAACTAAAACAAACCTAACAAGATGGTCAGATGCTCAGTTTAGAATCACACAACAACCATCACATTATGTTACTTAAAGCCAACGAAGTTCAACAAGCAAACTCGAATTACCACAGTAAACTGAGATAACATATCACTAAACAGACTAGGCATGTCAAAAACAAATTGTGTGGGGCACAAAAGGTATGCCGAGGCAGAGCGCACACCACACACTGGTCTATCGGGGCTTTAAATGCTTGCGGCTCATCCGGGGATCGGTGGAACTGACATAATGATCATAATGATGATGGACAAATGCCAATAAGAAACCTAAGGGTTCAGTGAGAAGCAGAGAGGGTGAGAAAAATAAATACTTAAAGAAAAAATAAACTAACATCAAACATAACAGATGTAAACAAAAACAATTCTTCCAATGTTTTACATTTTTAATTTCTGTAACTTATGGGCGACGCAGTAGGTAGTGCTGTCGCCTCACAGCAATAAGGTCGCTGGTTCGAGCCTCAGCTCAGTTGGCGTTTCTGTGTGGAGTTTGCATGTTTTCTGTGTTGGCGTGGGTTTCCTCCGGGTGGAAGGGCATCCGCTGTGTAAAAACGTTCTGGGTAAGTTGGCGGTTCATTCCGCTGTGGCGACCCCAGATTAATAAAGGGACTAAGCCGACAAGAAAATGAATGAATGAATGATTTCTATAACTTCCGAGAATCCAACAAGGGCCACATATTGATAAATAATGTCATGATAGCTGTTTTAACCAATCCAAGCTCATTCTGAAAACGTAGCCCCTTGGACGTTTCTGGAGACAGCGGAATACGTCCCGGGAGGTATGTACGACTGCATTTATTTTTTTCAAGCGAACGATGCGGGGCGGTGTGACGCTGTTCCCTTCCGCGCTTGCCGGCCGGCCGTCTGACCGTTTACCTCCTTGTGGAGGGCTTCCCCACTGCAAGCCGTTTGTCCACTCAGCTCACCGTGTACGTCGGCAGGCTTGAGATGCAGAGTTGACCACGGCGATTGGTTTCGAGTGAGGGGAAGAACGGTTCCAGCAATCAGGTAAGACAAAAACAGAATCCCAAAAATTAAGTGAACGAGTTTCATAACAGGGTGAGAACGTGGTGAAATCCGAAAACGCGGTAGAAAAAAAAATTAGGGCTTTTCTTTTTTTGGACGGCTTTTGTAAACTGTTGCTCGGGTTTAGGGAAGCGAGCGGACGGGCGGGTCAATCGATAAAATTGGTTGGGTTCAAGGAAGGAGGAGGGCAGGTCAGCCGATTGGCTGGTCGCGCAGTCAATCATCCGGTCAGTCGGACAGCGGCCTCTGGTGGGTTCACGCGAGAACAGCGCGGGCGCGAACTTCACGGCGCTTGAGGTGCGAAAAAGCGCACAACAGCGGCCTCTCGCGGATTTGCAAAAACAAAAACTGCAGCCGTACGTACCCGCCGGGACGTATTCCGTGGTCTCCAGAAACGTCCGCGGGACCACGTTTCCAGAATGAGCCTGGGTTGGTTTTAACATTGAGTTATGATTGAATTGCCTCTTGCTACATTTATGAAATAGTTTGATAACAGGAAATGTTCATGGACCAATAACATGACCACACTGAAGTGGTCTATAAGTTTTTGTACCCAAATAGTTCAATTCAGCCTGGATATTTTATAGTCTCATGTCTTACAAATAATAATTTGTTCATGCAGTTGGGTTAAACCTGGTCGCTTTTATTGCTATTCAACTATTTCCTGGATAATTATAATCACAACTCAAAAATTGCAGATTTTGCCATGACGATTCCGTACGGATATATTGTGCAGTCCAATCGAGTATTAGGCGATTTTGGATGCAGGTTTTTCTTTATTTTTTGGTGTTTTACCTGTGTTTTGTGTTGCATCAGGTGCGGCGGTGGCAGTTGTGTACCGTGTAGCAGGGAAGGACATGGCTCCTCTTGAAGCGCTGGTGTATGGAGTAGGACAGACTGCTTTAACCGTCATCATCTCATTCTCAAGGATCCTGGCCACTCTCTGATTGGATGTAAAGCATCAATAACTGAGACACCAAACAGCTAGTCATCCAATAGAAGAGCCAGGTTTGAGGTGAGTCGAGTAAAACCGCAGAAATGTGTTTTGGGATGGACTACAAATTAACTTTGGGGAATGAAGAACTGAACATTTCAATAAGCAAAAACAGCAATGACTGAAACTCGATCAACGTGCCAATTGCCTCCGTGGAGGATTGAGATGAATCTTGGGGTATCATGTTCATCTTTTCTTAAAGACGTTTTGTTTTGCTTTTGCACATTCAGCTTTATGTAAAATGACTGGTGCTGGAGACGAGATGCCAACATCCTCAAATACCTTTTCTATATGTCTGTTTGTTCAATTATGGACCCTTTTCACATTTCCGAGTTTCTCGATTGTCGTAGTTGGGTAAACATATGATTCATTCACACTAGCAGCGACTTTGTTGCTGCCTGTCGCTCTTGGTGGCGACCTGCTGCAAACACAGGTCTGTGTAGGTCTACAGCACGGAGAATACAACCATCCTCTGACCGAGCTGAATGGATCACATGAGCTTTACAGGTGCTCCTATTGGCTGTCGCTCAAGAAAGTTGCACCTTATTTTCATAAAGTTGAAGGATTCGCAATTTTGTTCACGTAGATGGAGGTTGCCGGAAGTCGCTTGCTCTCTGTTAATACGCTTGTCGCTTTGCCACTGCGAGTCGCTCATAGTGTGAATGAGGCTTTATTCTGTGTTCACACCAAAGTCATGCTATTCGCGCATAAATAGATGCGTGAACATTTTGTGTTTACTCTCTTAATTTGCACGTCAAATTCACTTCACAACAGATGCGGATTCGCTTGATGAGCCGAGCTTCTGTCAGCCCGCTGACTCCAGTTTCGTTGCTAAATGTCTAACATGGATTTTATTGAGGGAACAGCTGTGTTTATGTGCTTTAGGAATGCTGATAAACAGCGTAGATTTGTTTGGAGCCGTGTCTGAGTCCACTAAATTCTTTCAGAGGTGCACCCAGCTCTGTAAGCTCATCAACTACTCCAAAAACAAATATGGTAGGTTCTTGGTAGAGTTCAATAGTTTTATCGAGGTAGGAACAAACGAAAGCTTCAATCTATCTCATGACCCTATATCATATAGAGTCTGTATGGGCTTGTATTGTATAATTCTTATGATTTTCATGGCTGATAATGACCATTCAATCAAGTGTTAACATTTCTTTAAACGGGTGATGGTACTGGAAATGGGGGGGACTGGAACCCACACAAACATGGGGAGAACATACAAACTGGTCATAACAAGTGTCTTGTGAAAAGGGTCCATAGCAAACCGTTTCCTTATTCCTCGAATCTGAATGCCATGAAACATTGCTGATTCTTTGTTATTGATTCTCAATTTTACCATGTCCTGTTGTATTACTTCACTTTGCACTTTCTATGTTTTGAAAACTGTCTAAAAAGTGTGCGATCTGTCGAACGTTCTGCAGTATGGAACTTAATTCAAAGTGTAATCTGATCTCTTGTAATCCACAGTATTTAAACGTATCCATAATGGAAAAAATGCCTTATAGTAATAAAGAAACATTAATCTGATATTTAATCAAATCTTAAACTGCAAGTATTGAAAAAGCCAATAGGGCTTACAGCGTTTTATTCTGTGTAAAGATGTGTTGTAATCAGTCATCTGCAGTTATATCATGAATAGGCCTGTCACAGGGCTCGCAAAGTTTTTAAATTCCTGGTAGCCCTCAGGCAGACACTCTTCAGTTTTTGGCCACCTGAAAATTTAAGTAGCGCAAATAGAAAATATGTTAATAAATAAAATATGAAATAAAAAAAGATATAATGGCATTTGCTAGAGGCTTTATATCTTTAAATAACCAAAATTGTATTATTTAAGCTTTTAGGCAGTATTGTAAAGTGTAAAAACTGATGTACTGTAATTTACCTTTAATTTTTTTGTGCTGTGTTGAGTTTTTTATGCCTTGTTTTTTGCTTTACCGATTGCGTACCGATATATATATATATATATATATATATATATATATATATAATCAGAGGTCGCGTTAACTGAATATTTTCCGTCATTGACGGATTTTTTAAACTGTAATTCCCTGTAATTCCCACTCCTGTCCAGCTGATGGCGATTGTTCTTGCTTTGTCTCCTCTTGTCACCGCTGCGTAGTTGCAAAAACAGACAAACCTGTCAACACTCCCGTTTTTCCAGGGAGTCTCCCGTATCATTCTATCTCCCGGAATCCCCCCCAACCCCAGCCTCCAGAACAAAATTAAAACTATCAGGAGAAGTTGACCTTCCGAGGCAAAGACACAGAATTTAATGACAATTGCCTCTGCATCAGTCTCCCTTGATGTGTTTGATTATGCACAGGCAAGCACTCAGTTCAGGTCGACGCAGGAGGAAGATATGAATTAAGGCAGATAGGAGTTTTTGTTCATTTGTCAAATAAATAAATAAATGAATACTTTAGCCTATATGCTAAGCTCATTATTAAAATATGAATGAAAAAAACGATTAGAAAATATGCAAATTAGATGACAGTCAATAACAGGTTATGAAGGAATTTTTACAACCCTCTCCGTCAAAATGATGGACAATGACAAAATCCAACGCGACCTCTGATATATACATATATATATATATATATATATATATATATATATATATATATATATATATATATATATATATATATACAGTTGAAGTCAGAATTATTAGCCCCCCTGAATTATTAGACCGCTTGTTTATTTTTTCCCCAATTTCTGTGTAACGGAGAGCAGATCTTATCAACACATTTCTAAACATAATAGTTTTAATAACTTATCTCTAATAATTGATTTATTTTATCTTTGTCATGATGATAGTAAATAATATTTGACTAGATATTTTTCAAGACATTTCTATACGGCTTAAAGTGACATTTAAAGGCTTAACTAGGGTAAGGTAACTAGACGGGTTTGGTAAATTAGGTATGTTCTGTGGGTTATCGAGAAAAAATATAGCTTAAAGGGGCTAATAATTTTGTTCCTAAAATGCTGTTTAAAATTTTTTTAAACTGCTTTTATTCTAGTTGAAATAAAAAAAGAGTTTTTCCTGAAGAAAAAATATTATCAGACATACTGTGAAAATTTCCTTGCTCTGTTAAACACCGTTAGGAAAATATTTAAAAAATAAGAAAAACATTCGAAGGGGGCTAATAATTCTGACTTCAACTGTATATATATATATATATATATATATATATATGTATATATATATATATATATATACACACAGTGCTCAGCATAATTGAGTACACCACATTTTGAAAATTAATATTTTTATCCATTTCTCAGTGAATATAGGCAATGTTTTTTGGTATAGATTTGTTAAACAGATATACTTTTTAAAAATATTTTAATCACCAAACATATTTAGAAATAGAAAAAAATACAATTAAATTCAAGCTTAATATTGCAAAAATAAATTAAAAACTACTAAATTTCTACTAAATTTTTCAAAAATTTTTGCTTCTCTTGATTTTTTATATTTAATATTTTTCTGTAACATATACATTTAGGTGTACTAGTTTTTGGAGCGTTATCGTAAGCTTCTTTTTATTCGATAAGCTCAAGATTTGGCTTCAATCTAATATATATGCACAAATATAAATTTTGTAGAGCTTCCTATTAAAAATATGAATTTAAAAGATAGATTTGTGAGGGGTGTACTTATATATGCTGAGCACTGTACACACACTTTTCACTCACCACAACAAATACGCACCTTCGATCATGATATATTATTGTGACAGGCCTATTCATGGATGCCCAGCCCTTTATGCATTCAAATGCGATCTTGTCCTCGTGCAAATGTTGTTACTTCACTGTAGTGGAGGTGTTTTTGTATAATCCAGCATTACTGTGGCAATACTTTCCCTCCTGGAGTATGGGGACTTAAACCTCTGGCCTTAAACGACAGACACCTTTTGGTTTGAGAGTAAAACTGAGGGGGGATTTTCTCCTCTGCTTTCCATCACAGGTTCTGTCATTATTTTTAGGATGTTTGCAAAAGTGAATTGTAATGAAATGTACACTGATGCCATAAATGAAAACAGTCATTCGTGGGGCTTTGCCAACAGATGTGAAAAAAAAAACAAATATTTTTTGTTATTTATTCATTCACCTTTCACTTACCTCAGTTTTTTATTTACTTCAGCGCAAAAGTATTAATAAATACAGTAAGTAAAAGCTAAATGGAGAGTGTTTTCCAGCACTATTCACTGTAAAAAGTGCAGGGTTCCAGACAACCCCTTCATATCATTGATTAAGTTAACTGAATAGTTAGCTTGCAATTTTAAGCTGATCGAACGTAAAACAATTAAGTTGTCCTGAAAACCCCTCTGGAATTGTGTTGTTTCAGCTCATTTTAAATAAGTAGCTATGATTACTACTACTAATTAAGTAGTTTGGATTGAACAAGCAGCACAGAATAGTTTTGGAGTGTTGGATGAACGGTGGAATGGGATTTATGGCCATGTGTTTGCATTAATTCATAATTTTTAATGAACACCATGTAATGTCGATGTCTTAAAGCTAAGAGCTAGCTAATGCTTTTCATTTATTTTGAATCGTTATTTTGAAAAGTTTCCAGTTTTGCTTTGTTTATATTATATTTGGTTGCACTTTCTTTAAAGCTTTAAATATGATGCATTGTAAAGGAGTCATTGTCATTATTGCACTAATATTTATGTTTAAAACAAACTAGTGTTAAATTACGGCCTTAATTTCAAAAAATCCCCCTATTACATTATTATTATTAATATTATTATTATTATTATTAATAATAATAATAATAATAACTAATCAGGAATATTAATAATTATTATAATAACAATTATTTTCTTCTTATTATTATTATTATTATTAATATTATTATTATTAATATTTTATTATTATTATTATTATTCCTGATTTTACTCTGTCTTAATTTTCTTCTTCTATTTCTTCTTCTTCTTCTTCTTCTTCATATTATTATTAATATTGTTATTATTAATTATTATTATTAATATTGTTGTTATTATTAATATTATTATTATTATTATTATTATTAATATTTTATTATTATTATTATTCCTGATTTTACTCGTTGTCTTCATTTTCTTCTTCTTCTTCTTCTTCTTATTATTATTATTATGAATATTATTATTATTATTATTATTCCTGATTTTACTCTGTCTTCATTTTCTTCTTCTATTTCTTCTATTTCTTCTTCTTCTTCTTCTTCTTCTTATTATTATTATTATTATTATTATTACCACTATTATTATTATTATTATTATTATTATTAATATCCCATAATGCAATTTAATTTAAATGCAATACACTTTACGATACGGTTTCATTAGTTACTGTATTTCCTAACATGAACTAATTATGAACAATACTTGTACAGCATTTATTAATCACAATTCAGCATTTACTAATGCATTATTAACATTCAAATTCCTAATGTACAGTACATCACTATTACTATTAATATTCTTCATTTTCCTCTTCATTTTCTTCTTCTGTTTCTTCTTCATCTTCTTCTTTTTCTTCTTATGATATAATATTATAAGCTTCATAACAAAAAAATATTGTACATTACAACAGAATTAAAGGCTGCTGTATACTGTTTGAATCAGCATGTTTGAAATTTATTGGAATATGTTATAATAGTATAATAATAATGTAATTGTACATACAGTTATTTATGAACCAATTAGTTGCCTTTTATTGTGTACATTTATAAAATAAAATACCTTTAAAATGCATCATATAAAGTCTAATTTCGGCTTCATAAATAATCCTAACATTTTCCTAACAAGAACAAACCCATTTCTGTTTGGATTTTTTGAAGATATTTTGAAGATATTTTGAAGAATGTTGCACAAGTAACCATTGACATCAATAGTATTTTTTTATTATAGAAGTCAATGGTTACCTGTTTCAGGTCTTCAAAATATCTTTTGTTGTGTCCAACAACAACAACAGTAAAAAAACTCAATGTTTGGAATCACATATTAGGAAATTCTCATTTTTTTGTCAATTATCCTTCAAATTCTGTACTAAAAACAGCTTTTCCCGACATATTTATGTCTACTAACGATTGTTTTCATGGCTGTTGTGTCAAAGCAAACGACGTTTGACTGTACTGCATGATACAAGTGACGAAATGATGGGATTTGTGTTCTGTTGTCATGGACATAATGTTATTTTAAGCCAAAGTGTTCATAATCTCCTCAGCTTTAGGACTTTTCAAATTAATTATGATTTTATAAAATGACTTTTGACAGATTATGAAATGTGAGCTAGTGATTTCTGACTGATTTCAGGCTTTCAGAGGTTATGATTGATTGGATGTAATGGCTGTTTTTTGTATTTGTAATATTATGCAACAGTAGTTGATGTTCAGTATCAGATCAGCTCAGCAGAGGGCGACAGTGTTCTGCGAATGAAAGCTCTGTCTGATCTGGGGAATTATGCAGATTTATGAGGCATTCTGTGTTGCAAATGTGTGTTTTTAATACTGATATTAACATAAGCTTTGTA